TCCTGCTGAGCAGGGAGCCTGATGTGGGGCTCGATCCCAGGATGCTGGGATCATGACCTGAGCCGAAGGCAGACGCTTAAGGACTGAGCCACCCAGGCGCCCCTGTTCTTTTCATTTTATTTTATTTTTTTAAAGATTTTATTTATTTATTTGAGAGAGAGAATGAGATAGAGATAGAGAGAGAGAGCACATGAGAGGGGGGAGGGTCAGAGGGAGAAGCAGACTCCCTGCTGAGCAGGGAGCCCGATGTGGGACTCCATCCTGGGACTCCAGGATCATGACCTGAGCTGAAGGCAGCCGCTTAACCAACTGAGCCACCCAGGCACCCTATTCTTTTCATTTTAAAATACTCTCTTTGGGGATGCCTCGCTGGCTTAGTCAGTGGACCATGCAACTCTTGATCTTGGGGTCGTGAGTTCAAGCCCCACATTGGGTGTGGAGATTACTTAAAAATAAAGAAAAATATTCTCCTTGTCTTGTTTCATTCTAAATAGTTCCTATTGCACAGTCTTCAAGTTCACTAATCTTTTCTTCTGTATTGTTTAATCTGTTGCTAATTCCATCCAGTGTATTTTTCATTTCAGATGCTGCAGTTTTTATCTCTAGGAGTTTGATTTGTCTTGTCTCTACTTAACTTTTGGAATGTATGAGATTCACTTATAATGAACTCTTTTAATGTTCATGTTTGCTGATTCCAACATCTGGGTCATTTCAGGGTCAGTTTTAACTGATTGAGTATTCTCATTACGGATCTTGTTTTCCTGCTTGTTTGCCTACCTGATAATCTTTGATTAAATGCCAAACATTGTGAATTTTACCTTGTTAGGCTGGCCAGTTGTGTATTCCTATAAATATTCTTTTTTTTTCTTTTTTAAAGATTTTATTTATTTATTTGACAGAGAGAGACACAGCGAGAGAAGGAACACAAGCAGGGGGGGTGGGGGAGGAAGAAGCAGGCTTCCTGCAGAGCAGGGAGCCCGATGCGGGGCTCGATCCCAGGACCCTGGGATCATGACCTGAGCCGAAGGCAGATGCTCAACGACTGAGCCACCCAGGCACCCCTTCCTATAAATATTCTTGAGTGTTGTTTTGGGCTGCAGTTAAACTACTTGTAAGTAGTTTGGTCCTTTGGGGTCTTGCTTTTATGATTTGTTAGGTGGGTCCTGACCAGTGCTCTATCTAGGGCTTATTGTTCCCCACTATTGAGGTAAGACCTTCCAGAGTCTTCTACCCAATGTCCTGTGAATTAGGGGTTTTTCCTCGTCTGACTGGTGGCAACAGGTGCTATTCCTGGACCCCTGTGAGCAATGGGCATATTTCCTTAATCTGTTCCGATGGTTTCTTCCCCAGACTGGGGTAGTTTCTTCACATCCCTATACTGATCAGTCTTCTGAATACTTGAGAGGCCCCTCTGCAGATCTCTAGGGTCTTTCCCCGTTCAGGTCTCTTGGGTTCTCTGTCCCAGGACACCCCCTGCCTTGCTGTCCCCAGACTCAGCTCCGTCTCACCTCATATGCAGTGTGCCAGGGCCCTGCCTGGGTTCGCCCTGTCTGTGCCATGTCTTCTCTCAAGACCAGGAAGTGTGGCAATCAATCAAAGGTCTCACCTCACTATGTGCCCTGTCTCTCAGGGATTGCTGTCGTTCGTTGCATGAGGACCAATATCCTGAAAACTGTTGTTTCCTATACTATAGTTTGTCTGATTTATTTTGGTTGATTCAGAGGGGAGGAGAATCTGGTCCCTGTTATGTCATCTTGGGAGGAAGTAGAAGTCCTACTTAATAAACACCAACTGACCAAATTCGCTGAATTAACTCTGACCTGACCCTCCTAGATTCCTGTGGTCACGGGGCCTAGCACACAGTAGGTGTTTGTTTGCTATGTTTGTTGAATGAAGGAATACAGGAATACTTGACTTTTTTTTTTTTTTTAAGATTTATTTATTTATTTGAGAGAGAGAGAGAGAGAGAGCACGAGTCGGGGAGTGCAGAAGGAGAGGGAGAGAGAAACGCAAGCAGACGCTGCGCTGAGCACAGAGCCTGACATGGGGCTCAATCTCACTATCCTGAGATCACAACCTGAGCCGAAACCAAGAGTAGGACACTTAACAGACTGTGCCGGCCAGGCCCCCCGGGGGTCCTTAACCTCTGTCCTCTGCTCCCTGTCTTTGTCTTCAGGGCACTGCACTTGGCAGTGATTCATCAGCATGAGCCCTTCCTGGATTTCCTCCTAGGCTTCGCGGCTGGCACTGAGTACCTGGACCTGCAGAATGACCTGGGCCAGGTGAGCCACCCAGGGCCAGTATGGGGCTTGGGGCTGGGTTCTCAGTGCAACCACTAACCCCTGCCCTCTGCTCCTGCAGACAGCCCTTCACCTGGCAGCCATCCTGGGGGAGGCCTCCGCAGTGGAGAAGTTGTACACGGCGGGTGCCGGGTTGCATGTGGCGGAACGTGGGGGCCACACGGCGCTGCACCTGGCCTGCCGCATGAGGGCACATGCCTGCGCTCGTGTGCTACTCCAGCCTCGTCCCCGGTGCACCAGGGGAGCCCCCAACACCTACCTCGCTCAGGGCCCTGAGCGCATCTCTGAAGCCAGCCACCCGCCTGTTGCCTTGTACCCCGAAGCCGACTCGGAGAAGGAAGATGAAGAGAGTGAGGAGGGTTGGAAGCTGCAGCTGGAGGCTGAGAACTATGAGGGTGAGGGTTTCCCAGTCACTGGGCAGGCCTGGGCTCCTGGGCAGAGTGAAAGCACTGGGCTCTGGGCTCGGTTCTCCTGACTCAAGACCCAGCCCCTTGGGAAATAACACTGAGGCTTCAGGGACCCCAGGCATGGGGAAGGGCTCCCACTGAGGCCCCAGATTACTGAGAATTGGTCATGTGGGATTCAGGACCCGGACCACGTGGAGGCCCGAGACCGCGTGGGACGCAGACCTGTCACCCACAGGCCTAGAACTACTAAGATCCCATTGTTGGGCCCAGGTTCCCCAGGTGGAAGGCACAGCTCACCCCAGACCTCACCGCCTCCTGCCAAAACCACAGGTCCTAGTCTGCCCAGGACAAGGGGACTCAAGGCCCGGATTCCCAGAGATTGACACTGGGTTCAGGGGCAGCCCCAGCCAGGCCACATGGGAAAAAAGAGCCCAGCTACCCAGGGCCCTGGCATCTGAGTCTCAGCTCCCCGACCCCTAAGCGCAACTACCTGGACCTAGCCCCTTCCACAGAGGGACCAAGATCACCCAGGACCCAGTGTTCAGGGCCCAGCCCCACCCCCGCAAGGTCATGGGCCCTTCAACTACTCAGGATCCAGGAATCTGGGGTCCAGGTCCTTTGTGAGATAAAGACCAGAGACTCAGTCTCCCAGTCCCAAGATCCGGGCCGTGTCCAAAGCCCCCAGGCTCTTCACCCATAAGCCCCAGACATTCCACAAGCCAGGCGTTGGCACCGCCAGCAAGTTCCAGACCACCAAGACTTAGGCACTGGGGGTGCAGTTGCGTCTTTGACTTACCCAGGAATTCAGGAGCTGGACCCCAAACTCAGTCCCCTCAGGCCACGAAGCCCTCCCCTATTGGCATTTGGGGCCCAGGCCCCTCACCCCCATCGCCTGACACCAGTCACTCTATCTGCAGGCCATACCCCACTTCACGTGGCCGTCATCCACAAAGATGCAGAGATGGTCCGGCTGCTCCGGGAGGCCGGAGCAGACCTCAACAAACCGGTGAGCTGCCCTAGGGAGAAGGCGTGGCAGGGAGGGTTGCCCCCCAGAGTGGGGCAGGGCCTCCTTGACCTCTGTGCTGCTCCTTGCAGGAGCCCACGTGTGGCCGGAGCCCCCTGCACTTGGCAGTGGAGGCCCAAGCCGCCGATGTGCTGGAGCTCCTCCTGAGGGCAGGTGCCGACCCCGCTGCCCGCATGTACGGGGGCCGCACCCCACTGGGCAGCGCCACGCTCCGGCCCAACCCCATCCTCGTCCGCCTTCTCCGTGCACATGGAGCCCCTGAGCCTGAGGACGAGGATGACAGGCCAGGCCCCTGCAGCAGCAGTAGCGACAGTGACAGCGGGGACGAGGGCGTGAGTCAGGAGGAAAGACCGGGCGGCCCAGCTGGGGGGTCGGGGTGAACAGGCTGGTGGGAAGGGGGGAGAAGAGAAGTTAGGCAGCGGAGTGAGACCGACCTTGGGCCGCTGCGATCAGAGAACTCAGGCAGCGGTGCCAGGGCTGTCAGGCAGCCGTCCGGGGAGACCTGGACAGGGCTGGCGGCGAGAACGCGGGGAGTGGGGCTTGAGCAGAGGGGGAGCTCAGGCGGAGTGACCGGTAATGGCAGTGGTTGACAGCGTAGGCAGTGACTGCGCTGAGCAAGAGTTGGAGAACTCAGGCGGTGGGAAGCCGACCTCGGGCAGCAGTGATTCCAACCCTGGCAACAGTGGGGAAAGACCTTAGCCAGCAGTGAGGAGGTCGTGTTGGGGAACCCAGGCGGCAGAGACGATCCCTTGGGCAGGGGACGAGGTTGGGGGGCAGGGGTGAGGAGTCTGGGTAGAGGCGGAGGGAGGGGGCAGAGGAGGGAGACCCCAGAGGCGGTGGCGAAGCAACAGGGCTGGAGCCCGAGCAGTGGCCGGCGGCAGGAGACCATGGGTGACCTTGAACGTGGTGGTTGGCAAACTAGGAGCAGGGGATTTGAGTGGGGGGACTTGGGCTTCCAGGAAGGCCCCAGTTGCTGGGGTGGGTGGAGGAAGCTGGATGGCCAGCAAGGGGACAGCCGCCTGATCCCCTGTGCCTGCCCCCCTCTGCCCCCAGGATGAATACGACGACATCGTGGTCCACAGTGGCCGGAGCCAAAACCGGCTACCTCCCACCCCAGCCTCAAAACCTCTCCCTGATGACCCCGTCTGACCTAATTGTTAATAGAGTTTCCAGTTTAATAAAATCCCAGTTCTGACGACCAGAGACTAGACTGACGGTCACCTTTGCGGTCCTCCAGTTTATTCCTGGGTCCCTGTCCCTCCAAGATCAAGTGCCACACAAGCCTCCGTGGTTTTCTCTGTGCTTTATTCACACCGAAGGGTTGGAGTGGGTGACGCGGGAGGCCGGGTGTGCCCTGAGTCAGTGTGAGCCCAGCCCCTCTACCCAACTCAGACTCAGCCCCGGGCCCGGTCGCACGGCCCACCCTTCTTCCCGTTCCTGCAGGTTGGGGAATGGAGTGGGCTGTTTGGGGGGGTCCATAGTCCTCAGCCATAGGGTGTGTCGGGAAGGAGGACGTGAGGCCGGGGGTCATCCCTCTCTCCTGACCTCCTCCCCCAGCATCTCCGTTGCCTTCTTTAGCTCCTCTCTCACGTGCTCCAGCCGCTCCATGTCGTGCTCCTGGTGGGATCACAAATGGGCTGGTCAGCACCCACCTTCAAAGGTGGGCCACCCCAGTGGTCACCCGTGAATGTGGGCCGTGTCACTTTGCACAACGGCAGCCAGCAGTGGTCATCCTGGTCCCCATGGACCGCGAAGGGGGCCGCAGTGAAAGAGTTACGTTGGCCAGTGCAACCAGCAGTGCGGTCCGTGTTGACTGCCTAGCCATCAGCAGCAGAGAGGACTCGGAAAGGTGCCCAACTTGGATGCCATGACCCCTTTGTGACGTGCTGGCTGTTTTGGCCACTGCCACCAACCGTGGGGACATCATCCCACTTCCCACGACTCAGCAGTGGTGTCCATCTCTAGTCCGGTGAACCAAGCACAGCAGCCCCTTCCCATGTGGCCAGACGGCTGCTTACAGAGCACAGGGGGGGCTAACTCAGACCCTTCTCTGCCACACTCGGGGCCGTCTTGGTTACTGTCATCTCAGCCAGCCTGAGCATCTCGGTCCAGCAGACGCTGCTGCCTCGTCCCGGTGTCAGTCCTGGTCACTATGATCCATTTGTGGTGGATCTTGGCTGTTTACGGCCCAACGCTGGTACATGTTTGGTCGTAACCCACCGGCCATTTGGTCCACCCCACTTGCCCACCGCCTCCTCCGCTCACCTCCCTCTCTGGAGCCTCTTCCTTCTCCTCCTGCTTGGGCTCGGCTTCTGGCTGCTGGTGGCGGTGGTGGTGCGGTGAGTGCTCGTGCTCCCCCTCTCCGCCCCCCTGGGCCCCGTGCCGCAGGCTGCGGCCCCCGCCGAGCAGCCGCATGCCCTTCTCCTCCGCCTCCTCCTCCTGGCGGAGGCGGCTGTGCAGCTGCTCCTGGATGGTCTGTGGCCGCACCTCAGACTTGGGGGCCCTCTCCGCTGCTTCCTCTTCCTCTTCCCTCACTTCCTGGCTGGGCCCCGTCTTCCCAGCCTCTTGCTTCCGGAACTCCCCAACCAGTAGGCCCTTCTCTTTGGTGGACGCACAGCCACAGGGCTCTGTCTCACACATCTCTGGCGGAAAGACAGAGGATGCTCTCTGGGCGGCAAATCGGGAAACCGAGACCTGGGGGGAGTTCTGGGGTCTGCCCGAGGTCCCACGGGGGGGGGGCTGCCCAAAACTGGGAGAGGAGGCTCAGGTCTGGGGGACATTTTCTGCCCCTCCCTCTGCAGGGAACCCCAAGGGTGGAGCTGGAGGCCAGGCTGGACACTGCGCAGTGCTGTGCCAACGCAGGCAAGGGGGCTCTGGGAGGAGACACCCCTTCCTCCAGGAAACCCTGACTGAAACCCTGGGTGGGTGGGGGCTCCCAAGAGGAACTGGGGCCTGGGCCCTGCTTACCTGTGTGGAGGAGAGCTGTGCAGGGGCTTCTCTGGGCCTGGCCCAGTGTCAGCACTTCTGTGACCACCTCGGCCAGACAGCGGGTCAGCTGGGGGTCAAGGGTCAGAGGGGAGGTTGAGGGCAGGGCAGAGCGGGCAATGAGAGCAGTTAGGGGTGTGGAGAGATGATCGTGCAGGCTGGTCAGAGAGGGCCAGGGTGCGGGGGAGGTGGGGCAGGGCAAGGGGTCCGCACTCCTCACCTCTTCCTTGGAGGGTCTTGGTGCCAAGGGAGCAGCGGTGGCTGTGGAGGAAGATGGGTGCTGGGCTCAGACACCCCCATCCCACACCGGGTGCTGTCCTCGGTGCTGATCCCAGCTCCAAGATGCATCCCTTTACTCACCTGTCCCCTCCCCGAGCCTACCTTCCAGGTGTACCGTCCCCACCTGGAAGCTCAGCCCGCGAAGTCTCTAGTCTGACCCCCCTGGGTGCACCGTTCCCGCCCCTGGTCCCTCGAGTCCCTGGTCCCCGAGCTGGCCGCAGACGCTCCCTCTCCAGTTTCCGGCACTCACCCGCCCCCAGCAGCAGCACCAGCAGCAGGGCCAGCGGCAGCAACAGCAACACGGAGGGGGGCCCGCGGTGCTGCATGGTGGAGCGTCCCGACCAGGGTGCTCGGCGCGGCGCGGCAGCTGCTTATAACCCGCGCCCGTGGCCCCACAGGGGAGAACGTGACATCACTACCGCCCCTTCCCCGCCCACGGCGGGGTGACAGCTGCGGGGCGGCCACCTGCCGGAGACCCTCAATTATTCATGGGGACCCACGTCTTGCACCCGCTCCCCTCCAACTAATGGCCCCTGAGTGCCTGCATAGAGGGAGGGTGCGTCCCCCAAACACACACAGTCTGATGAGCTTTAAGGCTGCACTGGGAAGCTGACCGGGGTTCGAATCCAACAGCAGTGAATTGCATAGACCTCAGGCAACAGCAACTCCTTCTCTTTGGCCATTTCCTCATCTCAAAATTTGGGTCCCCTAAACCTCTTGTTTAGGAGGTCATCCCAGTTCCACTACCAACAGCCGTGCGGCCCGGGGAAAACTGCCGGGACTCTCTAGGGTTGGTTTCATCCTTTGTGAAATGGGGCCGGCGGCTGCGACTCCACAGGTAAGGCGTGGTGGCAGCTGAGTGCAGGTCATTTAGACAGCACTGGGCACTGGGAACTACGCAGGTCCCAGCCCCTTGCGGCTGGGAATTTTTATTGACCACCTACTCTATGCCCAGCCCTCTTACAAAGCCCGGGGCTCCAGCAGCGGACACACTTCCCTGTGCTCTTGGAGCACACATTTGAGAAGGGGCTGACGCAATACTCAATTATGCGTCAGGAAAAAGGGGAAATGACCCCAGACTCCCGCATCACATGAGCACTGGGGGCTTTTACTCTGGCCGGTCAGGGAAGTCCTCTCGGAAGAGGGTATTTGCACCAAGGCCCGAGTGATAAAATGGAGGCAATCATGCAGGATGAAGGGAAAGCGTAGCCAGGGAAGGGACCAGCGAGGGCAAAGGTCTGAGTCGAGAATGAGTCTGCAGGGTTCGAACGGCCAGCCCCAGAGCAAGAGACACAAGAGGCGGGTTGAGGAGGAAGGCGGGGGGCGGATCACGTGGGGCTCTGTGGATCCTGGGGACCACTCTGTCCTTTCCCGAGTGAGATGGAGCAACGTGAGGGCTCCGAGCAGGGGAGGGACATGACCTGACCCGGGCGTCCACAGGGTCGCTCTGGCTTCGTATGGGGGCCCAAGGAGCCGGGAGGCAGTGAAGAGGCTCGTCAGTCCCGGTGAACGGGACCAGGGAGGAGAGAGTAAGGGTGGCTTCTGGAGATATTCTGAAGGAGGAATGGCCAGGCTCTGCTGCAGGAAAGACTGCCACAGGCGTGAGAGGAGCTGAGGGTCACTGGACGGGCACGGCGAGGGGCAGAGCGAGTTCTGGCTTTGCTGAGGCTATGCTGTCTCCTGGACCCCTCCCTGCCGCGGGGGGTGGAGGGGTGAGGGTCAGTGCAAGGTGCCCCCTGTTCTAGAGCAAGGGGAGAGGACTTGGCATGCTCTTAGTTCCGGCGGTGGCCCCCAAGCTGCCCTCCATGTGCTCTGGGGGTTGTGGCCACGGTCCCTCCAGCCACAGCCCCTGGGATGATTTAGCACCTCTGCCCAGCTGCCCAGCATGCCCAGCGAGTCGGCCAGGGTCCTCCGCCTGGCTCACAGATCCACAAAGGCCTTGGTTCTGACCATTTATTGGGGACTTCCTGCTAAGTACTGAGGGAGGGAAGGAGGAAGGAGGAAGGAGGGTTGGAGGCTTCTTCTTCTCCTCCCCTCATCCCTACAACCTTCAAGTCCCCAGATGTCCTGCTTTCTGGTGCAGGCTGGGACCGTCAGTGGTGACGGGGTCACTGGCTGATTCTGGGGAAGTAGGGAAGGGGCCCAGGGACAGAGCCGACACGAGGAATGCAGATGTCAGGACTCTGCTCAGGAAAATAGGTCCCGGGCTTCCGGGGTCCCCCGAGCTCCAGGAAGCGGCCACAGCCCTGCTGACTGATGAGGGTGAGTTCTCAGCTCGAAACAGGCCGGCCCGGGCGCCTGGGCTTCTGGGGCTGGTTGGGGCCGATGTATTGGAGAGGCATGTGGGTGGGGGCCGTGATCCGATCGGTGCCCAGGTAGGGCTGGAGGGCAGGGGGCACGAGGACCGAGCCATCCTGGGGACAAAGCAGGCCTCAGGTTGCTGCCACTGCCCCAGGCCTGCACACTCTGCCTCCCCGAGTTCGATCCTCGCCCGCCTCACCTCTTGCTGATTGCTCTCCAGGAGGGCGATGAGGAGGCGGGGGATGGCGCAGGCCGTGGCGTTCACCTGGGAGAGAGGCATGCTCGCGTCCACATGATGACCTCCGCTGGCCTGGGAGAGGCTGAGGTGGCGTGGGCCTAGGCGGGTGGAGGCTCTGGGGCGGGTGGGAGGGGGGTGCGGGCGCTCACCGTGTGGGCGAACTGTAGCTCCCCAGCCTCCTTCTGGAACATGATATGTAGCCGGCGGCTCTGGAAGTCCGTGCAGTTGGACGCGCTGGTTACCTGGGTGAGGGGGTGGGGCAAGCTGAGAGGATCAGCTGTGGGGGGGTAGGGGGTCCCGTCCCCTGTTCCCAACAGGCGTCCCCACCGCACCGGGGGCTCACCTCGCCGAAGCGGCCGCGGCCTGGCATCCAGGCCTCGATATCAAACTTGCGGTAGGCGGGAAGGCCCAGTTCCTGGGTGGGCATGTCCAGGACGCTGCCGCAGAAGAGAAGGTCATGGTGAAGGTCAGCGGGTGAGAGGTGGAGGCAGTGGCAGGGGGGGTGGTGGAAGAGAAGCGGATGGAGAGGAGGGTGGGGAGGAGAAAGCATGGGCCACTGTCAGCACCCCCGGTTTGTAATGGGTCCCCAAGGAGAAAGCCCACATCGCCAGGCCTCTCTGGAAGCCTGTGACGGACAGGGCTTGGGGAGGGGGGGCGTGGGGCTGCCTGAAAGGGAAGGGGTGTGCCCCCACCTCCACTCTGCCTGGGGTGAAGTGCAGATGGGGGATGGGGCGGCACCGAGGGATGGGAGCTAGGAGAGGGAAGGGGCCTGGGCCTCCACACTGGAGCGCCCTGTGCTGCTTAGGCTGCGGGCCCCATCCTATGGTCCTACACGGGATTTTACAGCCTGACAGACACACACCCTGTAGACATTCCTAATACGGGAAAAGGGGGTGGGGAGGATGGGGGTGGTGAGGCTGTTCACGATGAGGGAGTACCTAGCCAGCCTGTCCCTCCTCCCGCACCCCCACCCTTCTCCGCACCGGAAGTGCAGGCCCAGCTCCGTCAAGATCTCCATCTGCAGGAACAGGAACTCCTCCAGCAGCTGTGAGCTCTGCTCCAGCCCCGGGCCTGTCACCCCAAACATCTCCACCTGGGGCAGTGCAGCGGGCACAGGAGTCAGGAGGCCCTGGGTCACTGGAGTGGCCCTCCTCCCCAGTCCCGGCTACACCAACCTTGGTGAAGTGGTGTACTCGATACAGTCCCCATGGCTCCTTCCCTGTGTCTGTCTCAGCCCGGTAGCAGGTACTGGAACAAACCATCCTGGGGGGGGCAGGGGAGGTGGTGTCAGGGAGGGGAGAGGGAATGTCACGGGTGGGGACAAGCTCTAAAGGAACTGAACATCACCTGATGGGCAGGTCCCTGAAGGCCACGGAGTGGTCCATGAAGTAGCCTGGGAGAAGAGGGGAACAGGATGGGTCAGCAGGGGTGCCACCCATCCATAGGAAACCTCTGTGAGAATTAGAAAAGGCGTCCCCTCTGGCGGACACAACCTCACGGGAGGGCAGTAGCTGGATCCTCACTGGGCTGTTGTGCAGTAAACAACCTACACAACCGTACATGTTGGCCCTGGGGTCACTGGAACATTCTCGGCAGGCAGCTGTCATCCCTAGGATGCTCCTGGTTGTCCCCCTACAATCCCTGCTGCTCTGAGGATGCTGGAGGTATCCTCACCCCTGCTGTTGCCCCCAGGCAGGTGCTTACCTGCAAGCCCCACCTCTGCTGTCCCAGCCAGGTTAAGGTCTTCAAAGCGGGAGGGGTCGATGTTGTAAATCTGGGATGGGTTGGCATTTGGTGTCATCCCACAGCCTTCCTGGGGAGGAGGCCAAGCCACAGAGGTCAGGGCACAGAGGCCCTCGGCCTCCATTTTGCAGTCACAACCCCCGCTCCTCCCCAGGAAGCTTCTGGAATTGCCCTGGCCTCCTTGTTCTGGCCCGACGCCCTCAACCCAGTCCCAGGGCGGTCTCTGCTGGGCGAGACAGGCTGTTCTTCACGCCTGGGGTCCCCAGAACTGGCACACAGCCGGGCGTGGAGAGCACTCACAAACACAGCTCCTCGGAGAAGGTCTGGCACTGTCATGGGAGTGAAGCCCTGCGAAGAAGAGGGGGGTGGTGAGGAGCTCAGCCAGGACTCCCACCCGGCCCCAAGCTCAAACCGGAAGCAGCAGCACTGCAGAGTGGGCCACAAAGCCCGCTCCACCTCAGAGGAAACTGAGGAAGGCCTGAGCGGTGGGCTCGGAGCTGGCTCTGGGGCCCTCTCTGCTGGGGCTTCACAGTTTCCTCGCTCAGTTCAGTGACACAGGGTAGCGGGAGGTGTAGTGAAAGCTTTCTGTGGCTCCCCAGTGCCCTCAGGAAATGTCCGGGTCCCTCACTGCTGCCCACGCCCCACACCTCCAGCCTCTGCCAAGCCCTCGCGGTTCAGCAACACCACATTTCCCCGACGCTCCCTTTCTGCTAGAGGCAGGTGGGGAGGTGACGAGCTCAGGCTCTAGGGCCAGCCCCAGGCAGCAGCCATGAGATCCTGGGCTAGTCACAGCCTCTCCAGGCCTTCATTTCTCCATCTCTGAAGTGGGGATAATAATGGCACCTACCTCCCAGCGCTGCTCTAGGAACGAAACGTGTCAATAATATGTGTAAAGCCCTGTAAACAGTGACTAGAGCAGAGGTGACCCCCCCCCGCAACCTCCCCACCTTGAGCCTTCTGAGTCAGCGTCCATGCACCCCCCCATCCCCTTCCAGGCAGCCCTCCCAGACTGGCCCATACCCGGTGGATGAGCTTGTTGAGTGTGAAGTTGACCAGGCCGTGCTGCAGGAGGGCCCCAGCCCCACGGAGGTAGTAGGAGCGGTGGCCGGACACGTGCGACAGGCGCCTGGGAGACAGATGGGCAGATAGGCGGGTGTGTGTGGGCCGGGGCTGATGGGGGATGAGGGGGGCTCTTCTGCACCCCAGGGCAGAGGCCAGCTGCCAGGCGGGGGACCGGGCATCAAACATTCATGCGGGGTGAGGCCCTGGGGCTCCCCACCCGCTGCTGAGCCAGCTGCTGGGGTGGGGACGGTGGGTGGCACTTACTTCTGACGGATGATGTCGAGTTTCTCGGCGATTTCCAGGTGGCCCCGGGGTGGGAAGGAGAAAGCTGGACCAGGATGAAAAGCGGTGGGGTAAGGGTTGGGGGGAGAGACGTGCAACAGGGACAGAGAGAGGATTAGAGAGCCAGTGGGGATGAGCGGCAATAAGACAGAGGGAGACCGAGGGAAGGGGGGGAGAGGAGCGGAAGGGCGCGGGAGGCAGGGAGAGAAAGGGAATGGGGTGGCAGCAGAGACGGGCCTGGCAAAGGGGGAGGGAGGTGGAGAGAGACACAGGAAGCAGAGGTGGAAAAGGAGAGAGCGGGCAAGGGAAGAGAACATTAGGAAGAAGCGAGAAAGCGGGAAGGGGACAGAGAGCCAGAGCCAGACCAGAGTCAGGGAGGAAAACCCAAGGGAAGCAGGGGCCAAAGTGGGGCAGGGACAGACTACCGTGCACACACAGACAGGAAGGAAGGCCGGGCGAGGGGCGCACAGACCTTTTACAGGGTCCAGCTGCATCCCAGACCCCGGGGATCCCCACCCCAGCCTGGGGGGTGGCCCACCTGGCTTGTCTCCGACCACGTGCAGCACTCGGGCCTGGCTCTCGTCCCCAGTGGGCTGCAGAGAGACAGCGGGAGTCATGGGGGAGGTGGTCCCAGGTGGGCCCCCGGGCCCTCCTCGGCCCAGCACGGTGCTCACCACATCCGGGTGGGTCTGGTTGGGCAGCCTCAGCGCCTGCAGGAAGAACTGCTCCTCGAGCTGGGTCTCCTTGGGGTACAGGACCATGAGCTGCTTGCGGATCTCCCGGCCATGTGCCCGCAGGCTCTGATATTGGGGGTCCTGGGGGCGGGGGTGGGTGGGGTCAGCCCAGGAAAGGGCAGGGGTCCCTCAAACCAGTTTGACCTCGAGCCTTGCTGGCAGAACCTCTGTGGCGGACACTCATTGTCTCTTTGGCCCGACATTCTGAATTTCCTTTTGGGAAATTCCCTCCCCTCACCTCACCACCATGTGGCATGTCCAGAGGGTCATGACTCAGGCCTGGCCTACCAGAACATTCCATGGCCTTGGCCACAGTGACAGGCTCAAAGACAGGCACATGACCCCAGCCCTGGGACTACGGGTGCAGCTGTCAGGGAAGTGGCCCCCTTTGCGCGCCACCCTGGCTCCCCTTTCTCTAAGAGGAGAAAGTTGGTCTGGGAACGAGAAGAAAGCAGAACCAAATATGGAGCCAGGACCCGGAGCCAGCCTG